CTCTACTCCATAATTCTATTCCATTGCATTATACTTTACTCTATTCCATAATTCTACTCTACTCTACTCCATAATTCTATTCCATTGCATTATACTTTATTCCATAATTCTACTCTACTCTACTCTACTCCATAATTCTATCCTATTCCATGCCACTCTACTCCATAATTCTATTCCATTGCATTATACTTTATTCCATAATTCTACTCTACTCTACTCTACTCCATAATTCTATCCTATTCCATGCCACTCTACTCCATAATTCTATTCCATTGCATTATACTCTACTCTTATTCCATAATTCTGCTTTGTTCTGCTCTACTCTATTCTATTAAATAGCCAAGCCAATTGGGAATTGGACTCACTTAATAACCGTGTGATTCGCTTAATAACCATGTGATTCACTTAACAACTACGGTGATTTCATTTCCAACCACCATTGCCCCCCCCCTCCAAAAAAAGTCATAAAACCAGGTGCGGTTCACTTAACCGCCACCTCGCTTCCATCGTGGACATTCCCATCCCAATATGCGTGAAGTCGAGCCCAACCACGGCCTTCCTCTTGCAGGATGTGGTGATGTACTGCCTGCAGAAGCCGAACAACGACGTCAACCACCGAGACAACGCCGGGTACACCGCTCTGCATGAGGCCTGCGCTCGGGGCTGGGTGGACATCCTGCAGACATTGCTGGAACACGGGGCCAACGTGAATTGCAGCGCACAGGATGGCACCAGGCAAGTCGGGATCCTCCTCGGGGAACGGAGGATATGGGGCCATTGGGAGGGAGGTGGGAATCCTGGATTCCAACTTTTGGATGGTATAAAATGGAGGATGAATGTAAACACAAGTCCGCTGGTTTCTTAAGTACGGTATTTTCTGGAGTATAAGACATACCTTTTTCTCTCAAAAAAGAGGGTGAAAATCTGGGTGCTTCTTATATACTAAATACAGCATTTTTGGTTTCCTGAAACCCCGCCCCCTTTGCAAAAATGGCCATGCAAAGCCTTTAGGAGGCTTCCAGAGTGCTGCTGGGGACTGGGGAAGGGCAAAGATGAGCGAAAAACAGGGTGTTTTTTGCTCATTTTTGCCCCCCAGCTGCCTGGAGCACTCTACAAGCCTTCTAAAGGCTATGCATGCCCTTTTTTTGATTAAAAAACAGGCCCGTTTTTGTGAAAAACTGGCCGTTTTCGGGAGGTCTGCAGAGTACAAAAACTTTTTTTTAAATTTGCCTCTTCAAAAACTTGGTGCGTCTTATACTCTGAAAAATACGGCAATGTTGATCAATATTCCAATGTTGGTATAATATCATGGACTAGATTTGAACATATGAGAATGAACGATATTGCCGAAGGGGAACGAAAACCAAGAATATTCAGATGGCGAATTTCTTTCGCGGTGTTACAAATGTTAGCGGGAAGGAACCAAGGAAATGGTGATAGTCTTGGTCCCTGGGCTACAGCCGTAAGATCTGAAAAAACGCTTGGCCCGTTCTAGGAAGTGGAGGCAATGGCATTTATTTAAAAGTTTCCCCCTACCCCAACAGGCCTGTACACGATGCAGTCGCGAACGACAACCTGAAGATTTTGTGGCTGCTCCTCTCCTACGGTGCTGATCCAACCCTAGCCACCTATTCCGGGCAGACGGCCTTGAAGCTAGCCAACAGCGATGTGATGAAGAGCTTCCTGACTGGTAAGTTGCTTCCTCCTAAAAGGAAAACGGTTGTTTTGTTCGCTCTTTACTTATCCACCATCCTCGGTCCCTCCGTCCCATCCATCCATCCATCCTCCACAGGGATGGAAAACGCATAGAGAAGACTACGTTGAAATGGAAAATCTATTTCAATTTTGTGGATGGAAGGATTACCAATTTCTAAGAGGAGTGGTGCGGTGGCCTAGAGGTGAAGCTCTCGCCTCAACAATCAGGAGGCTGTGAGTTCGATCCTTGGTTGTGGCATATTTCTCTCTCTGAGTACAATGAGAAAATATCTGCTGAAGAAAAAAAAACTTCGCATTGGCAACAGGAAAGGCATTGGGCCAGTAAACACTCAGCTCAGGCATGAAATCCTCTTCCTTCGCTACCAGTTCGGAACTGGGAGTGCGTGCACAGAGCGTCCGTGATGACATCTGCATGGGTGGGCAGAGCCTCCCGCTATCGCCACTCGGTTTGCCAAAACCAGTGCGAACCAGCAGAATACCACTTCTGACTCAGCTCCATTCAGTTGCCCAGACTCCACCCCGCCAGGGATTATGGGGTCGCTAAAAGATTACGATGATGATTACTGATTTCTAGCAGAGGAACAGCTGGATACTTGAATTGGCTACGACATGTTGATGATGATGATAATCATATACTTTATTCATTAAACATGAAACTCAGTCAACTGAACATTCAAAAATGCATCACAAATACCATTGACTGGTGCTAATGGTTGATACGGGTTGCTGCCAGTGTCCTAGGTATCAACCAAGTACTGTATTTTTCAGAGTATAAGACTCTCCAGAGTATAAGACGGACCTAGATTTTGGGAGGGAAAACAAGGGAAAAATATCTGCCTCTACCTTCCAGCAATTTGCCTCCTTGCAACAAACAGTACAGACAATGTACAAACAGTTAAATTATGTTAAAATTGATGCTGGAAGTATAGTTATTCTCTGCTATTTAAAAGAATAGCACTTTTTAAAACAATAGCACTGGGCCTCTTCAGATCAAGCTTCTTCATTTTGTTACTCTGTCTAGAACAATAATAAAGCAGTCTTTAAAAAAATGAGTCTAATAATTTGAACATTCTATAGGCATTTATAGGTGTTGACTTACCTCCTTGTAGCAAACAGCCCGATTAGCACAAGAAAAAAAAACCTGCCTCCCAGCAATTTGCCACATGGAGCAAACAGCAAGTTTCACTTTCAATTTCTCCCGATCATCAGCTGTTACAGGCTGCAGGGATTGCTATAGTTTATTATGGAAGCCTTCGCAAGCCCCCCTTTGCTGCAAGGAGGTAAATTGCTGGGAGGCATAGAGGCCAAAGGGTTGGGGCCAGTGGGTGAGTGGGACTATATTCGGTGTATAAGACACACCCAAAATTTCACCCTGTTTTATACTCCGAGAAATACGGTACCACCTTAAAATATAAGATGTTCTGAGCAGTGCAGTTTTTTGCAGTTCCGCTGGTGTTATTGCAGGAAGCTGCAACTTCTTGATGTACCTTTCAAAATTCTTGGACCTGGTATCAGGTGTCCTGATGACAATGGGTGTCACTGTTACATGTTTCATCCATAATCGGGTAGTTTCGATGATGATGATGCTAATTATTGTTATGTGGTTAATCTTTAGTGAGATTCACAGCCTTTGGGGCTGGTTGGTAGCTCAACAGCTTGAGTCCTAACCAAGGCCCTAGGAACTGTTAAGGTAACGTCGGAGGATATGTTGTTGTTGTTGTTGTTGTTGTTGTTGTTGTTGTTTTGGTGTTGTTATCATCATCCGAGGAAAGGCTGAGACGGGTTTGAAATTGCAAAGTCTACATGGTGGGTTTTGCATGAAAGCTTTTTCAGCAACAAACAGAAGTAACTGATTTGCAAAATTGTGCTTATTCCAGTGTGATTTTTTTTTTTAAAGATAGCTATTTGGGGGTCTTTCTCAAGAGCCTGGGATCAAGGGAATCCACCTCAGCTTGCTTCTTCCTGGGTTGCCTTTCTTGTAGATCACCTCTTGGACCTGCAGGGACGACCTGATGGGGATCCCCAGACCGCCTGGGATTTTCACAGCAGCTCGGTACTAGGTGAGCAGAGAATCCAGCCACTGCCTGTTTTGACCCCAGAGCCAACCCGAGCCACTTCGGTCCGTGTTAATCTCCTCCTGTCCCCTGAGTGGCAGGAGATATGGAGGGTGGGTGGGTGAACTTAATGACATTGACAACAAAGGTGGGCTTCTCCCCTTTTCCTTCCGTGGCTTCCCAATTGAGGAGCCTCTGGAGAAGAAAACGCTTAGTCAGTCAGCTCCCCCCCAAAAAGTAGGCCTTGAAAGCTGTACTTGAATGACAGTCTTCAAAAAAATAATCTTGGTCTTGGATGGATGCGGTGGTTTGGTTTTGGTTTCGTGGTTGAAAACATGCCCCGTTAACAAGTACAAGTTTCACCTCTGCCTCCTCTCCGTTCTCCTTTCCTTTCCTTTCCTTTCTTCCTTTCCTTTCCCCTTTTTCCTTTCCCCCTTCTTTTTCCTCTCCTTTCCTTTCCTCCCTATTCCTCCTTTCCTTTCCCCCTTTTCCTTTCCTTTCTTCTTTCCCTTCTCCCTTTCCTTTTTCCTTTTTTCCTTTCCCTTTTTTTCCTTCCTCCTTTCCTTCCATCCTTTTTTCCTTTCCTTTTCCCCTTCCTTTCCTTTCCATCCTCCTTTCTTTTCATCCTTTCTTTTCCTTTTTCCTTTCCTTCTTTCTCTTTTCCTTTCCTTCCTCCTTTCCTTTCCCTTCTTTTTCCTTTCCTTTCCCCCTTTTTCCTTTCCTTTCTTTTCCCTTCTTCCCTTCCTTTTTCCTTTTTCCCTTTCCCTTTCCTTCCTCCTTTCCTTTCCTTTCCTCCCTATTCCTCCTTTCCTTTCTCCTTCCTTCCTTTTTCCTTTTTGCCTTTCCATCCTCCTTTCTTTTCATCTTTTCCTTTCCTTCCTCCTATCCTTTCCTTCCTCCTTTCCTTTCCCTTCTTTCTCCTTTCTCCTTTCTCCTTTCCTTTCTTCCTTTCCTTTCCTTCTCTTTCCTCTCCCCTTTCCTTTTGTCTCCTTTCTCTCCTTTTCCCTTCCCCTCTCCTCTCCTCTCCTCTCCCTGTCTTCCAAGTGCAGAATTCACCGTCCTGCAGAAACACAGATGGGGCACCTGTGCAAAATTTCTCTTCCTTCAGTTTTTTTGAGCTCCCTCCACCCGACCCCATTTACCAATGTTGTTGCTAGTTTTACTAGTTGAGTAAGAGACTCAGCTATTCCTCAAGTCCCCTTCCCACCACCACCACCACAGCAAGGGAAAAAAGAAGGGATATTGCTTGTCCATCCTGCAGCCAGAAGAATTAGGGAGCGGGTTGTTTTTTTCTTTTAAGCCGGCTTCAAAGCAACGCGAGCCTGTAATTTGGGGGCCCTGCCTCCTCCCGGTGCTCTTGCAGACCTCGCCTCTGTCTTCTCCGTCTGCTTGTGTCTTCGCCTCCGAATGAGCCGTTAACGGCCCGGGCCCTGCACGCAGACCAGGGACATCTGCCAGTGGCCTCTTCCTTCACCTTCCCTCCCTGTCTTTTGCATCTTTTTCAGAGGAGAAAGAGGAGATCAGCTGCGACCTTCTGCTCGACCCTCCTGGGGGCTCTGATCAGGAGGAGGAGGAGGAGCAGGACTCGGACAGCTTAATGTTTGAGTTCTCGGAGAAGCCGCTGCTTGCTTGCTACAACCTGCAAGTTTCCGTCTCCCGAGGGTAAGTATCGGGCAAGAATGTGGAGGCGCACCCTCGGCTGGTTTTTGAAGGCGGAGGCGCCTGGGTCTAGGAATCCTGGCAAGGAGAAGAGGACAATCCGAAAAGAAAAGGGGAGCATCTTTGGGGAAGGTTCGCCTAGGCGAGCCCCCCCTCCCTCCTTTCCTCTGATTTCCGAGCTTGGGCAGAGCCTGCGGGGGCTTGCCAGCTGCTCCGTGAGAGGAAGGGCATCCGGGCAACCCGCTGTGCCAAATGACAGGCTGGCAAAAGCCTGATGCGAGAGAGTGGAATTTATTGGGGTGGTGGTGGTGAGGGAGGCCCATTCTACAGATCGAGGGCTTGGGAGGATCAGGCAGAGGGACGGTGAATCTGCAGCCAGTTCCAAACCCCCAGAGTCTTATGGTGTTACCACAACCTAATACATCTATTTTGAACCTTGCAGCTGCCCTCTGTTCATTTTTAACCTGCCAGATACATTTAATTTCCACAATCTTCCAGCCGGCATCACGGAGCAGCCAATTAATAAGAAAGCCAAGCCAAATCTGGCGAGAGGCGGGCCTAATCTCACCCAACAAACGCAGTTTTTTAATTTTAAAAAAATCTCCATGTCCCATAGTTATTTAGACATTTTTTGGGGGGTGGGGGGAATACAACTTTTTCATGATCAGCGATCATTTAAATATCCACCAACTTGATTATAAATGCTTGGCTGTTTACAAAAAAAATGTAAAATACTTGTATTTATGGGGAATATCCTTCAGTCCATGACAAATGATTTTTTCACTTGCCGTCATGAATAACGAATAAGACCACCTTAAACTTGTTCCTCGGATGGCTTTACTCTGGCACTGGCTTCCTTTGTTGCTGATGAAACAATATTGCTTTCCAAATAATTGATTTTCAGCTTAAAGATTGGCGGTTATGGCAATGGTCCCCGGGCTGTGGCCCACTGCCAGGCCATGGCGTAATTTGGAATCGGGCCCTGTGAATTGCTGGCTGCAGCCAATGTGCGCAGCTCAACCTCTGCGAGCGGCCAGCCTGGTCCTCACGCGGCCCAGTTCCCCTCCCTCTCTGCCCCCCGGGCAGACTGCCAAGCCGTAAAGGTTGGGGACTGCTGGATTATACAGCATCAATATCTTGTCAGAGGAAGCTTGGCGACTGACGGAGAGAGGGAAAGCCATGTGCAACGGCAGCCTCAGGGATGGGAGACAAGGTGGGAGTGACTGAGGGGTCTAAAGCCCCTCAGTTCCCTGACCGAAGGATTTGCAGGGCGAGGACTAGAAGTAGTTAATTCTCGACTTACAACGGTTCATTTAAGGAGCTCTCGAAATTAACATTGGCACTGAAAAAGTTAATTGTGGCCGTTTTTCATGCCGACGGTTGCAGCCTGCCCCAGGGCCACCAAATCCAGATGCTCGGCAACTGACTCATATTGATGACGGTTGCGGTGTCTTGAGGGTCACATCATCCCCTCCCGTGACCTTCGAACAAAGCCCGGTCAACGGGGAAGACAACCGCAGCGCTTCACAAGAGAGTTTGCAAAAAAACGAGGCAAAGCTCGGGTGACAACCTGTCTCTCTTAGCGAGAGGAATTTGTGGTCGTAATTCGAGCACTGCCTGTAAACAAAAGGGGCCGTTGTTCTTTGCCTTTTGAAAGCAGATCTGGATCGTAACTCCCAAGCAAGGCTGGAGGATCCAACGTTTTCCTTTTCAGAAAACACTTGGGGAAAAAAAAGAGTCTTTTTCCTCCCTTCTTTCCCACGCTATTCCCTTTCCCCCTACTGCTTTTTGCTTTGATGATTTTTTTGGGGGGGTATATCATAAATTAATAAAATTGTTGTAAACATTTAAAAAAAACTAAAGAAAAGTCCTTGGGGAGATTCTGGAAGAAAATAGCAGAGCAGACCTCGGGGTTTCCTTGGAGGGAGGGATGTTCCACCCACCCATCCACCCACCCATGACCTCCATATCGTCCCTTTTGTCTCCTCGCCAGGCCCTGCAACTGGTTCCTCTTCTCGGACGTCCTCAAGCGCCTGAAACTCTCCTCCCGCATCTTTCAAGCTCGCTTCCCGCACTTTGAAGTGACGACTCTGCCCCGAGCCGAGTTCCAGCACCAGATCTCGCTCAGCCAAGTCTTGTCTCCGGAAGAAATCCAGGAATACGTGTGTCCCCCGGCAACTCCGGGCGCCGTAGAGACGGTTGAGCTGGTCCGTTACCAGCCGGAGCTGGTCCGATTGTTGGGCTCTGACGTGGCATTCGAAGCCTGGAGCAGCTGACCGGGAGACATCTCCCCAACAGGCCAGCCAGAGGAAGCC